AACATTGGCGGGAGGCAGCCAAGTGAAGTGGCGTGTGGCGTCATCAGGTTGCAGATGCTGGCAAAGCAGAGAGAAGTGGGAGAAAAAAAAATGCGTTCTACTTAATGTTGCATGCATTTATAGCAAATATTTCCCATGCCCCATGCCCCAGACTGAGAGACTGAGACCCACGCCTGCCCGCCTTGGCCTGCCCACAATTGCTAATGATGCAGCAGCAAAAGGAGCAGCAGCAGCATCTCAGAGCATCCTACTGCCTCATGCCTCATGCCTCCTGTTGCTGCAACTTACTTGGCTTGGCGCTCTTGTCATTAAGCTGCGCAACATTTACAGTTCTTGCCCGTTGGCTGCTTCTGCCTGCTGCCTGCTCCCTGGATGGCTTACTGCTTTTCGATTTAACTGCTGATAGCTTTTGAAGTTAGAGACTAAGTTACGTAGTGCACTTGGCGCACACTTATCTATCATTATCATCAGTAGCAGCAGCAGCAGCAGCCGCAGCAACACACACACACACACATATCCCCTGCCCTGCTGCACGTTGTGGCAACTTTTCTATTACGCTCCCGAACTGCACTTATCGTCATCATCAGGCAGCAGCAGCAGCAGCAACATCGCAACATCCCCAGCATCAGCTTCAGCATCAGCTTCAGCTTCATTTTCAGCTTCAGCTTTGAAAAACGAAGCTCTAGATACACTTTGAAGATCCATCTCTGCAGCCACATAAATGACGCATTCTTTGCTGGGAAAAACCTGTAAACGCGCATTCATAATACCCTCGGCCAAAAGGGTATAATGAAGAAGCTGGTTGCCTCCAGTTGGGTACAACGTCCAGTCTAATCACTGTATGCATCAGGGCCTTGATGGCATTAGTTGGACTCCTGTCGGCTGCCGCTGCCCTGCTGGCAGATTGAAGCTGTAGCTGTGGAATCTGTGGTAGATGCCACTTGAGTTGTTGCAGCTATCGCAGCTGATGACAATGATGATGATCATTATGATGTAGAGAATGACGTTGAGTTTGGACTTGGACTGCGTTTGGCAGCTGTTGAATCTCTACCGAGAGTCTCTTTCTAGCACTTTTTTCCACTCATACTACACATGTACTTTCTACAGTGCGTTGCGCAAGTATATGCCACAAAAATAAGCGCAGTCATATTATTTCGTTACGCACTGTGGCTTAGCATCCTCAGGTCTTTCGCTCTTCATCTCTCTCTTTCTATCGCTCTATATTTTTTTTGCCCCATCTCCCTTTACGCCAGCGGCCTGATTTTGTATAATTTTTTTTTTGTGTTATGAATTTGCTGGAAAATTGCAATTTTATGTGCAATTTCTGTGGCCCTCCTCCTAGTCAAGCCCCACCACAGCCTCCTGCTCGTGTCCCCCTCCTTATGGCTTACATTATTTCGAATAATTTAATTGCTTATTAAATCATCTTTTTCTTCTGCTTCTTGTTTCTCTTTTTAGGTAAGTTGGTTGATCTACTGACGGAGGCTCATCCTCTGTGTGGACTAATTAGTTTTGTTGCCACTGCCACTACTGTGATGTTGTTGCTGTTGGTGATGGTGCAACTTTATTAACCGCTGCCCTGGAGCTTTCAATCTGTGGCCTGGCCGTCAAATTAAATGAAATTTACACTTTACCGTTAAATTGGCAGGTACGTTAGAAAATTACACGGCAAGATCCATAAATTTTGTTACTGCCGGTTACGATGGGGTACAGCCTTTTGTGTACATTTTAAAGTTGCTGTTGCTGCAACCTGCTGCTGCTGCTGCCTGCCCCCTCAAGGCAACATCCGATTTTGACACAATTTTTGCTGAGTGAAAAAAAAAAGTAAATATAGTTATAGAGATGGGATGATGGCAAGAGGGGGGGAGGGCAACTCTATTTATTATGCATTTTGCTTTTGGACAACTCCAAATGGCGGCCGTATCAGCAGCATCCAGCATCAACCCCTAACCCTTCAGCCACTCTCTCTACAACCCTTCGGTGCTGCATGCCTCAATGCACTTTGCACTGTAATAGAGAAAAATTCCACTATTTGGTTTATATATTTTCCCCATTGCTTTTGTTGTTGGTTGTTTTCATGCAACTGGTTTTTGTTTGTGTGCCACAGGAGAAAAAAAAGGAGTAAAATGGAGTAAAAAAAAAAAGTAATGCTTACAGCAAATATAAACATGCCAGGGAATGCAAAAAAAAAAACAGTTGAACAAACTTTGGTTCCGTCGTCTCTGCACCCCGCCCCCCCTAGAAAATAGATGCGGGAAAGAATTTTAATTTTAGATGAGAGTCGATTAAAGGCATATACTTTCACTTCTTTTTGACAGTTGAAGGAATGAAAAAAGGAGATGGGACCTATGGAGTATTTTTGGAAAGAATTAAAGTTAAGGAATTTGCAGAAAATACTTTTTATTTGGGAGTACGGAAAAAAGAAGATGAATGAACACATTGCTGGACAGATCATTTAACTTCATTTTTCTAATAAAAATTTTCTTTGCAAAATCTTCCCTAAAATCGGTATACCCTTTTAACCATAGAGTACAACTAAACCAACCAAGTACAACGCAACGCAAGGAGGGTAACGTGAAATGGAAAAACTCCACTGTCGAAAATATGAATCGAAAAACATGGCCAAGGCACGACCCAAAACCAAATGGACCAGAAAGCGAATCAGACCAAGAAGTAGAAGCTGCTCCTCTTTGATTCCTGCCTCTGCGCCTGCCTTTGCCTCTAGATTCGCTCTTTCTTTCTGGCCAACTGGTTCGAGCCTGTCTCTCCGTCTGTCTGTGTGTCTGTTTGTGTGTCTTTTGCGGCTGTTGCATTGTCTTGTGGTATGGCTGCTCCTGCTGCTGCTGCTGCTGGTGCACTTGGCGTTGCTTTTGGGGGGCTCTTTTATTTGTGTTGCGTTTTTCCTTTTTACTTTTGCCGGCTTTTGCCGGCTCTCTGACCAGCCTTTGACCAATGTCCGATGGCGTGGTGTGCTGCCCTCTGTACTCCGTTCGATTCTGTTCTGTTGCTGGCCATGTTTTGGTTTTAAAAAACATTTTTTTTACAACAGTTCCTAGACTGCAGACTCTGACTCGACGGCCACATGTTGTACAATAGTTGCAACAACACTTTTTACACATGTCCAAAGCTGCTGACCCAATTCTCCCTTCTCTCTCTCTCTCTGTTTTTTCTACAATGTTTTTTTATTCGGTTTATGCTTTATTTAAATTTTGTGCTGAGTGCTTTATAAAGTTACGCTTCCAATATTTTTGTTCGAGTTTTTCTGCCCCTCTCTCTCCCTCTGTTGAAATGCAATTAGCGGTACCCTTTTTCCTGCAATGAAAAATGTCCTTTAACCTAAATCAACAATACCCCATAAGCCGCCAGGATTTTTCGCCCCTTTATTGTAGCCAAAGTGTTGACAATAATATTTCCATTCCAAACTAAAGTATTTGTGTAAATATTTTTTGATTTCTGTTCTGTTTTCTGTGCTGCTAATTTTCTAACCCCACGAAAATCTATAAATAAACAAGAAAACCCAACAATGCCACTAAACATTTATTTGTTTATGGGGGCAAAAGTCGCAAGTTGCCTGAAACCACCACCGAAAAATAAGGAAATTATTTTTGCTACCCCCGAGTGTGATTTGATTTTTCCCAAATATAATACATGGATCGTGCGTGCTCAAATCCTTCAGTGCAGTCCATCTGGTCGATCATCAATACTTGTCGCACAAATCCTTTACACCACTATAATCATCGTCGTCACCCCTCCATTGGAGTTCATTTATTTTCTGTTTAACATCATTTAGGGATTGCCAGCGAAAGACAGAGAGAGAGAGAGAGTGAGATTTTCCATGCATTCATTGTCTTTATTTGCACGCACCCCTCGAAAATATTATTTCGGGATTTTGCCAAGGGATGTTTCGGTTCAGAATTTATTTCTTTCGGCTGGGATTTAATGCCTTTCAAGTGTCTTTGGTGCGTAAAGTCCATTTTAGGCCTTGTGATTTGTCCAACGGATTAGCTTTGACCCTGAACCAGAGTTCCTTCTTTAATTTATATTTTGGCGCAAACTTTTTTTGTTGTTTGCTTTCAAAAATAATAATACCTCTAGGAACCCAAAAAAAAACCCCACCAATTTTCTATGGAACAAAAAGTCAATTTACAGCACGAGGCGAGGCTCGTCTCCTATGGACAAAAAAGGGAAACCAGCACCAAAAAGTTAGGGCGGCAGGGGTTCCTGCCAATAAATCCGTAACGAATCCTTTAGCGAACACAGCCAAGGGAACGGCAAAGGATCTACGCTTCAGTGAATTTTTGATGGACGTATCCGAGCGTAGCATATTGATGGCAAGTTTTGCGCATTTTACGGATATTGCACAATTTCTTTTTTACGTTTCTTTCACGTACCTTGTATTTGGGGGATTTTCAGTCGCACTCTCACTCGCACAATCTCTCCGCAACAAAAGTAAAAAAAAAAAAAAAAAAAAGAAAATGATTAATTATTCAGGGAAAATGTTGGATCGTGGGCAGGGGCGTGATTGAGGCAGACGTTTGTGCGCGAGCACTTTTAATTGGCTTTTGAGTCATCGACTAATAAAGATTAATTGTTTTTTAAAAGCAAAAATGTTGACAATGCAGTCAGAATGTGTGTGTTTGCAGTAGAGTGGGATTGGTTATATGGCAAAGGACATTCAGAGGAAAACCTCCTCTCCTGGCCGTTTATCTACTATGCCAGCCCACAGTGGGGTGGTGCCATGGTACGCACTCAATTGGAAGATTAAATGCAAGCCGAAAGTCCAGGCCAGTCCAGTTGGACGGGGAATGGGATCTGTTCTGTGGGGGGTCCTACAGTGTGTGTCATGGTCATAGGCAAAAGCAAAAGGTTTCAGGGCTATAGGAACGGATCGTGGAGCCCTTTAGGAATGCTGTAAAAGTTTACCATAAGCGAAAGGATATGCTTAGGGAAAAATGCAATCAGTCAATGTAATAAGATTCTTGGGAGAGTTTTTGTGCCGCTTTTATTTATTTGTTAACTCTAACAATTTGTAGAAAATATCTCTTAAAGTTTGAAAGGTCTTGTATCTAGCCAGCATGTAATTATCATCTTAATTTCATAATTTCTGAGGCCTTTTTCCGTTGAAAATTGATTTATTGCTCTGACAGATCTGTTTGTTCTTTTGCTAAATTCTCAAAAAGATGTTCAGAATTGCCATCTTGATGGCATTAGTCTTTTGCTACGCACTGTATTTTGTACCGCTCTCTGACCTGCCACTTGCCAATGTCGCACACTTTTTTATTTCGCCCCATTTTTGCCTCAGACAATGTGTTATTGTATCCCACTATCCGCGTTGCATATGCGGTTGTGTCCTGCGTCTGTTGATGGCAGAGTGGAGAGAGGAGTGGAGTGCTCTGCGGAGTGCGGAGTGATGTGGTGGTGGCTACTGTAGAACCATTGGCAGGTCGAACGATTCAAATGGGCCGCCGCCGCCGCCATCGTCGTAGTCGTTGTCGTTGTCGTGGTCGTCCTTCTTGTCGTTGATGTTGCTCCCTCATCCATTTTTGCGTATGAATTGCAAAACGCCGCACATATTTCACGTTATTGTTTGGGTCTGGGGTCTGTGCTGTGGCTCTGGGCTCTGACTGTGGGCTCTGGTCTCTGGCTCTGGCACTGAGTTCTGGTTAAAGCAGGTAAACCCTCTGTCTCCGTATTCCGTGGTCCGTGGTCGGTGGATGGCATTCCAAGTCGTGCCACACATTTGATATATGTTTTCGGTGTCGAGAGCATGAGTTAACTGTGTCACAGGCATCGTAAATTTTCGACACATTTTCCAAGGGTTCCCCATTGAAGGCTGGGCAGGCTGGATGGCTGTCAGGCTGGATGGGGGGGAACCCACTGCATTGAAATTGCTAGAAATAATCGTAAAATGATGAAGTCGTTTATGAACTTCAACTTCAACTCGGGCAAATATGAATGATTTGTGTGTGTGTCTGCATTCTGTTGGAGAGGCTGTGGGGTTCATTTCTTTTGGGTGGCTGCAGTAAATTATGATGCCTGGAAAGGGTTCGAAGCTACAACTAAATTAGTGGCATAATTAGTCCTGCTGCAATTGCTGCATTTTCAAGTGCTGTCTGCAACTGTCAAACTACAGGATATATCAACTGTATATACACATATATATATGTATGTACGCGACTGTCATGAAAAATGATATACCAAAACTCGCCTCGAGGCGAGCAGCAGCTGCTGACTGCCTGCCTGCCTGCCCCTGGGTATCGGTCTTGGACTTGGTCTCTCTCTCTGTCTGCCTTTTGGATGGGTCCGGGAGTCCTTCTTTTGTTTTATGCCGCCGCCAGGCAGGCCCTTTGTTGTGTCTCTCTTTCTCTGTCGCTGCCCTGTGTCTGTCTCTTTCAAGCGCATTGCCAGAGTATAATTTCGTTTAATATTGTTCATTTTAGTTCTGTAATTGTGCGACGTTGTCAAATGACAACTCGAGCGAGCGAGCCGAGCCGAGCGCTCGCTCCTCTGTGCTCTGCCTTCTTCATTCACTTTCCTTTTTCAATTTTTCATTTCAACTGAAATTTCGTATAGAGGATCGTCTTACAGTAGAACCCTGCTCGAAGGAAGGGTCACTCGCGTGGGTATCTGTTTTGTTGTTGTTCGTACCTGAACGGAAAGGAATCCTTAAGCTTGGCTAGAGATCATCACCAGCCAGGCTGGTCTCTGGCTTGAAAGCCAGCGCCACAATTTTTGACATTGACATTCCCTCTGTCTCAAAAATGTATTTTTATCTGATCGTGTGCCGCCGCATTCAATTGGAAAATTCAGTGTTTCATTAATGGGGGTTTTTTTTTTAATGTGGCATCTGTCTTGGCCTGGCATTCTAGACGACAGACAGGCGGCTAATAAAAATGATGAAATTTCAATTTTATTTTGTGTGAGTTTTGAGGTTTTTAATGTGTGTGTTTTGATGTGAAATTTGAGCTAGTTTTTGGCTACGCGATGATGATGCTGATGATGGGTTTTAAGATAATTTGGATTGACACTCATTTGACGGGTAAGATGTGACAGAATTGTGGAAAAAAAGAGACATTTCGAAAGGTGTCTATGTGAAGATTTAATGATGATCAAAGATCAAAATATTAAGCAGCGAAAGAGCATTGATTTTTTATAGATAAAGTTGTAAATGAGTCTCATTTGAGGGGGATAGATCACAGTTGAATGGCCTTTAGTTCCACATGGAAAGAGTGAGGTTTAGACATTAATCTGAGTGGAAGTTTTCTCATTTTTTAAAATGATCATAATTTAAAGATCGAACCATCTAGATGAGCCCAAAGATGTGATATTGTGCAGACAAATTGTAGATGCCCGCATATGATTGTAGCCTGTAGATTTTGGGTTCTATCTACAATGACTTTGGAGTGGCATGCCATGCGGCAGCGCCCATCGGTCAGCGTTTCAGCCTGGGATACGCGCATAAAACGCTGCGGCTTACTTATAAGAAATCTCTAATTATTTTGCCAAGAGATTCCAAAATAAATATAAATATAATATAAATATATATCTATAAATAAATATAATATTTTTTATGGCTAATTATATTTTGTATCTAAAGATAATTTCTTTACATTAAAGTGGGCATCTAATAAGTGTCTAAGCATGATTTAAATGTTGATTAATACCCCCCTTAAGAAAACCACCATATATAATCCATTAAAGTGATTTCTGTATCTTTAATCAAACTTGGTTAATGGTCTACACATGTTAGTTTTTGCCAAACAAAATAACCAACAAAAACCTGAACTGGTTTGCATCTCAAATTGGAAACACAAAGCCTCTAAATGATCTATTTGAGTATTCAGATTAGATTGAATGCTTTAATTGCTGAGGGCCCCATAGATATGAAAGTTTGTTGAACAAATTGCTCTGTGATCATGAGCGATCCCCACAGATTATGATCATGATAAAACCCTTAGTCAAGGCCAATTGAAAGGCCTTTTGTTTGGCCATGTTATCATAGTCACGCCTATCGGAGCCAAACCGTGTGGAGACCAAACCCCTGGTGATGTTTTGGAGCTTTTTGTTGTTGTTGTGGTTTGGATGAAGTAAGCTCCCGCAGTGCGTGTACGCAGAGACGATCATCATCATACCAGACCATCCATCGACTCTTTGGAGAGTCATTAATCAAGGCCCACTTAAAGACATTTAAACGCTTACGAATTGTAATGCGAGGGCACGATTTTTCAACGATAACGATTTATTTGGCTGCCTTTTATATCTCGCTTTATTATTATTATTATTGATACAATGCCCCGTTTGTGTTTACCGTTCCCATAAATTTACTTCGGGGACATGGCAACGCATGCGCCGCCGCCTTTGACACACACAAAAACAGGCGATGAAATCTCAATAAGAGATGGAGCGAGCCCCAAAAGCCCCGAAGACAGAGAGAGAGAGAGAGCCCCCGGAGCCTGCGCCCACAGATCGTATGGGATTGGATCGTATTGCAAGTTCCCCCTGTGGGCTGGCTGGCAAATCGGAATGTAAATTTTTGTCGCTTCTCGGGAATTGATTTATATCTGAGCAGCAGCAGCAGCAGCGGCAGCGGAGGCAGCACAAGTCGGTCCGGATACGGATTGGTCTGTGGATTGGCTTCAATCTACTTTATTATTCATTGGAAACACACCAACAGCAGCAGCAGCAGCAGCAAGCCCACAAGATGATGATGATGATGATGTAGATGACGATCCAATCCGAGCGAAGTGAAATTAAACAGAAAAACCAATGCTCATAAAACTCGCCAAAGGTCCCAGACTTTGAATTTCAATTAATTTGTCTGATGGATGGATGGATGGAAGAACCATCGTAAATGTGGATATTTTCATTTTTATGAGCTAATTGCCATTGTTCGTTCGAGACTCTCTTCGGTTCAATCAAAGAAACAAAATGGCAAAGGGAGCGGGCCAAGGAAGTCGAAGTTTATTTGCCTGCCAACCCATAAGATTTTTTGTGTGATTTTGTTGTGATTTATGGGACTTCTTTGGGGTTACAAATCACAATAAAAAAAAAAAACAACCCAAAAAACCACAAAAAGTGTGGGTAAAAAGGAAAGGAAGACACTGTGTGACAGGCTGCGACATAAATGCTAAATTGGAAATTAATCAATGAAAATTGAATACCAAATTAATATTTATGGCCAGTGATGGTTTACGATGGCTTTTTTGTATTCTTTTTATTTTTGTAATTGAAGCTCAATTAATGCAATCAAATTTAAATATTTCATAAAATGTTTATCAAAATGTAATTGAAAACAGGCGGTATATAATTGTATTTTTTTAAATTTAATAAAACTGTACCTATCCGTTTCAGTGTGTCATCATTAAAAGATTAAATACCTTAAAGAACTTTATCTTTGAAAAATTTTCAATAATAAGTCCGAGACTTAAAAAGCTACAGGGTACTGAATTTCTTACTACAGACTCTATTTATCTGAGGTTATCAATGAAGTTTCTGCCATAGAACATCTCTCATTAATTTAACACAGGATTCCATGGATGCATTTCTGATTTGCGAGGGACATTTTAACGGCTGCCTTATCAACTGTGTGGCACTCGACATCAAAATAATAATCATAATAATTATAGTTGGAAATTCGTTGAAATAATAATAAAATTGTGAAAAATATATGCAGACGAGTGGACGAGTAAATTGCCCTGGCTGGCTGCCTGGCCTGGCCTGGCTGACTGCCTACATCACAAATTATGGCTGCGTTTAAGTAATTGTTGCAACCGATGACAGCGCTGTTGCATGCCCCAACAACTATCTGTCTGTCTGTCTGTGCCTCTGTCTCTGTCACAGGCATTGGACAATGAGAGCGTTGAAATATGCAAAAAAAATGGCAAAAATTAAGGAAAGAAAAGAGAGGAACAGAGGGAAATGGAAATGGGAATTCATAAACTGCAGCGACGACAAATTGAAGAGGGATATTGTGGGGGAGAATGACTGGGAGAGGGTGGATGTGGAAGCCAATGCGCCGCGGCATATAAAAATTTATGAAACGCCATAAAAATATTTATAAAATTGTCACCCCGCTGAATCTTTACGAGCATTTATAAATAAAATGCACGCAATAATGCGAAAAATTAAAAAAGAAAAATGTTAATATAAATAAAACAGATAACAGATAACAGAAAAAGGAAGCATCGGAAATAGCCAGATCAAAATGATAGGAAACGTATTGAAAAATAATATTTATAATTATATACCATTTAAAGTTCAACATAAAATCAATAATAATAAAGGCCAAAAATAACGAGCAGGGAATGAGCGAGAAAGGAATAAACAGAAGGGAATAATAAGAAAAGAATAATGATTAAGAAACTACGCTGACGATAAAGTAATGTGAGAATGGAATAAATAGTCTAAGTCAAAATTCCATACATGTGCATTTTTATATCAACTGAGTCCAATCAAATGTGCCCGTGCCCACTTGCATTTGGAACATGAGTTTTTCCTAGCTTTTGCTTCGCTTCATTGATTTCCTGCAGCTTTTGACAGTTGAATGCATTCCTGATGCTCATTGCTAGGGGGATAGATACAATATACTTGAAGACCATTGCGTGAGTGTTGCACGTGTCAAAGGCAGCATGAGACCAGGACCCAGGGACCCAGGGACCCAGAGACCAGCAGCATCCGCTTCAGGAATATTTCACACTTGCCTCCTGCTGTTGCTGTTGCCTGCCTGCTGCCCAAAAGCAATTCAATACACCACGAATTTCGCATCGACTAATCCAAAAAGCATTTCTGACACTTGCTGCGCGTATTCTCTTTCTCTCCCTCGCTCTTTCTCTCTCCTGCCACTTTTTGCGTTACTAATGACTTGGCACTTCTTGGGTGTGTATGCAACCTGTGTGTGCCTGTGTGTGCCTGTGTGTGCCACGCCCTTGGCTGTCAGGCATTTGTCATATTTCTGTCAAATAAGCGCTTTTAATATTGATAGCTGCTGCTGCTGCTGCTGGTGCTTCTACCGCCGATGCCTGCCACGACGACTGTCAACAGGATGTTGGCTTCAGCGCGCTTCAGCTTCAGCTTCAGCTTTCTGTTGCAGCTTGGTATGCAATCAGGCGTTTTATGTGAGCAGCTTAATGGGAATTTATTGCATTTTACCCACCCCGAAAACCCCCATCCCTAGCCCTAGTGCCCTTACCCTGCTCCTTGCTTCCACCCGCTTGCCTTCAGATTATATAATGAATTTCTTTTCCTTTTTTCTTTTTGTTTAAATCGAAATCAATAAGTGTATGCAAACGCATCTTTTGTTGCTGCCAAAAATGTTGCTTATGAGGGTTAAGCATATACCATTTAACATTATCAATGGGTTAAACATAATGGTGATGATTTATAGGGGTGGGGAAGACAGTTGGACGGACGTTGTACTGTTGTTTGTTTGCATAACAAATGATGGCAACAAATGCTAAATTATCCAACATTAAAAGCATTAGGCTAACGTTTTTATTTTCGACGCCACCTGCGCTGCCCCCATATATCTCCTCAGCCCCCGCTCCCTTTTCCACTCTCCAGTGGATGGACCACCCGCAGAGCTAACAGAAAAAAAGTGCAAAAAAAAATGATATAAATTTATTTATATTGCGGAGCGCCTTGGGGGCATTCGCCTTCTCTCGCGACCGCCTGAATCATGTGCATGGGTTCAAAAAAAATGAAAAAAAACAAAGCCAAATGCCAAAAGGTCATTCTGCTTTTTTCGGAGGCCCAGCATGACGTATTCTCGATCTCTTTTACGTTTTAGGTGTCTGTCTCTCTCTGCCTGTCACTGTATTGCAAAATATTTTGCAGATTTTCTTTGGGCTGGGTTTTGGGATAATTCTTATTAGATATTTTTATGTAGGCTTTTTTACTATGATGCTGAGAGAGCAATAAAG